AATAGCCAAAACATGGAAACAACCTAGGTGTCCATCAACTGAGGAATGGATAACCAAACTATGGTACATACACACAATGGAATACTATGCAACTCTAAAGAATAATGTAGAATCTGCAAAACACCATATAATGTGGATGAACTTGAAGGCTATTATGCTGAGTGAAATAAGTCAATTACAAAAGGACAAGTATTGTATTAGTCCGTTATTATAACAGTCAAGGAAACATTTATCTAAGGAAGACCATTTTCTTTGTTGGTTACCAGGGGTGGGAGGGGAGGGGAGGGAATACTGTTAGATAGAGTAAGTTTTGATTTGGGTGAAGAAAAGGGCAATGTACCAAATGTGACTGATCAATATAGTGGCATTGAGGAAGAGAAAGACAGAGAGGTATGTGGGAAGTACAGACAACAAAGATGAACCCTTTCGCAAATATAGTAGGACATGGTCAGTGAAGGCAAACACAGGTATATGGGTGGATAGCTGGGTGGACAGGCTGAAATATTAGGTAGGTATATGAAGTGGAGAGTGCACCCAAGAACATGTATAGGGTTGGCAGAAAGTGGTCCAGTAACTTTATGTGTATGATCTAAATTCCCAGGTGTATAATGGGGCTGACAAGGGGCAAGGTTGTAGTCACTGCTTGGTCACAGCCAGCTATCCAGAGGGACCGAGTAGTTGAACCTGTGGGCTCAGGACCATAGTCCCAGAGGACATCAAGCTCAATTGGCATAACATACTACACAAAACATTGTTCCACCTCCTACTGTGGTGAGTAGCGACTGAGATCTTAAAAGCTTGCAAGCTGCCATCTGGATGCAACGACGGGTCTCTCCTCGTCCAGGGCCAAGAAGAATGAAGAAAACCAAAAATTCATGGAAACAATTAGTCCTAGCGACTGGTACACCATCCAATCTGCAGCCTATACGACTATGAGACCATGAGAAATAGATGGTGCTCGGCTACTACTGTCAACCACCTGCAAGAGGATCTTTGTAGGAGATCCTGGATGGACAGGGAGAACAATGTGGAACAAAACTCACAATCATTTGGAAAGAAAAAAAAAGGTGGGGACCAGGTTTGCTGGTCCGACAGAGCCTGGTGGAACCACTGAGACTATGGCTCCTAGCTGCCCTTCAGGTCTGGAATTGAACGCACACCTGTGGCTTCCAGCCAGGCAATAGACAGGCATATGAGTTGAACATTTACCTGAGGCAGATACACTCCTTGAAAGGGAATAAGCATGAGAGAAAGAAGGGCTGGCTCAGGCACAGGAGACAGCTCAGGGGGTAGGAGTGCATGGAGAGATGTACACAGGGAAGAGGTAACTATGGGGAGGAAGTGGGCGGGGAGATGTTGCATTGTGCTAAATTGTGGTCAATGTCACGAGACAAGGTGTATATGAACTGCTGTATGGGAGGTGTATTTGCTCTGTAAATTTTCACGCAAATCACAATTAAAAAAAAAAAAAGATTTACAGCCTTGGAAACCCAATGAGGGTCTTTATGAGTCAGAATTAACGAGGGCAGTGAGTTTTCCTAGTTTATATCACTAAGGTGTACTTGGATAAGACATCTTCCCTGCCCTCAAGCATCAGTCACAGGAAGCCTGCACACACACTACTAATTCAGGGAAAAAGCAAAAATGACATTGCTGATGATAAAGAGTAAAATGTTGTGAGCATTTTTAAAAAAGCAGAGAGTAACTGCAATGGGGTAATGTGGCAAGAGGCAGTGTGGGAACTATGACTTGCAGGAAGGGAAGAAATCTGACAAAGTGATATGGGGTGGGGTAAGGGCAAAGGGGTAAGAAAGGGTATTCCAAGAATTTCCCCAAATACTGATAAACAGGTCAAATTCCTTGGCACAGGAAATCACTTCATACCAAAACACTTTCCAAGTTTCAGCTAATCATCACAAACAATGTTGTCCAAATTAAGAAAATTCTAGTACAATGAAAAATTTTAGATACTCACCAGCTTATAGCACCATTTCTAACATCAAAGCCTTAAGGTTTTCTTCTTAATTTTACTTCCATATGAAACTCAAATATTCATTATATGGTTCATAAATTAGTCATATGACATCTCAAGTAAGACAATTTTAAAAACCAGAAACACAGATGCCAGCTTCACAGCCTCAGGGGCACATTTTAAAGTGATTGTGAAGTGAGTATGTTTTCATGTAATTGAAAGGAATCCTTGCATTGCCAAGTGATCAGTAAGGCAAAAATTATCCTACCTTTAATAAACAAATATTCATCAAACTTACAAGAAGATGGAAGACCTTTTACAATTCCAGTATGCATTTTGGTAAGGCTCTACTCACAACTTATTCACAAGCTTTAAAAGTTAAGCAGTGTTATTTTTTTTTATTGTTAAAGGCAAAAAATTGATAAGGACGAAAAGTTGAAACACTATATCAAGTAATCCATAAGTTTGTTGCCTCCACCCCTTTCCATGTCTGAGTTTTCACAAACAAATTTTATAGCAGCTCAAATGCTGGATGATGTAATCAAGTAAAATAGATTAGTATAAAATACTTAGTAGTGAATAAATAGACTGTCTTCAGAGTACACTTGATTAAATCCATAACCTTTAAAAGCACTACGTTGAGTTTAGATTATAGCTCCCTAGCTCACAACCAAGTAGAAAACAAAACTGATGGTTAACATTATTATTCACATCAAGAGCCTGAATTTTTGCAAAGTTTGGCCTGGGCATTCAAACCAGATTATAAATTGAGTCAAAGGCTCAAAATCTGTTCAAACTGTTATCTTTTTCTCAACATTTCCTTTTTCTGTAAGTTACTTTGCAAAGAGAAAGCATCCCTTCAAAAGATTTCTTCTGAGCAATAGTTTTGCTCTTAACCTTGTTAAAAAGCAAAGACATCACTTTGAGGACTAAGGTGCACCTGACTCAAGCCATGGTATTTTCAAACACTTTATATGCACATGATAGCTGGAAAACAAATAAGAAAGACCAAAAAAGAATTGATGTCTTTGAATTATGGTGCTGGCCAAGAATACTAAATACACCATGGACTGCCAGAAGAATCAACAAATCTGTCTTAGAAGAAGTACAGCCAGTGCCTATGCACAGGGTAACAGCTCAGGGGGCAGGAGTGCATGGAGGGATGGACACAGGGAAGAGGTAACTATCAGGAGGAAATAGGAGGGAAGCTGTTGCAGTGTGGTAAATTGTGGTCAGTGTCATGAGACAAAGTTATGTGAACTGCTGTATGGAAAGTGAATTTGCTCTGTAAATTTTCACCCAAATCACAATTTAAAAAAAAAAAAAAGATGTACAGCCAGAATGCTCCTTATAACTGAGAGAGAGACACTTCATCTCATGTAATTTGGACATGTTATCAGAAGGGAACAGTCACTGGAGGACATTATGCTTGGTAAAGCAAGGGGTAAGCAAAGAAGAAATAGATTGACACAAGGCTGCAACAATGGGCACAAACATAGCAACAACTGTGAGGATGGCACTAGACTGGGCAGTATTTTGTTCTACTGTACACTGGTTTGCTATGAGTTGGAACCAACTAGACAGCACCTAACAACAACAACATTACTTATAAAACCAAGACAGCTAGTTTTAGTGTGTTTTATTTTTTTGCTTGCTTACCTGGTGATTTCTTGTTTGATCTTGATTGCACCAAGTTAGACTGTCGAGGCAGCAAGGGTGATGAAGGCAGAGACATAGACACACCTTTGGCCAAGCTCACTCTATAGGTATCTTCGGCTACAGGAAGGCTGCTAACAGGGAAGTCACCACCATGACCAGGGGTGAGGCTGGGAGAAGTCTCTGGATCAAAGTCACCTCCTACAGTGGAGAGAGAGTAACTTAAGTTAGACCATTCATGACAAGTAGATATAAATGTAATTCCTAAGAACTACATTCTTAGAATATAAAGTATGAAATCTGAAAATTAAAAACAATTTTTTAATTACTCTTTTTAGACAAGTAAAGGAGGGAGGTTACTTGTCTTAAAGGGATTATCAGTAGAATAGATTCACATGGTGATATCTGTTCCAGAACTCCTTTTCTTCCTCCTCACTATCCCTTTCCAGTAAGAATGTTCAAGGGATAGAAGGGCTGTGTTATGCACAGGGAGACAGCTCAGCGGGCAGGAGTGTATGGGAGGGAAGGACATAGGGAAGAGGTGGCTATGGGGACGAAGTGGGAGGAGAGTTGTGGCATTGTGGGAGATTGCAGGCAATGCCATGCGACAAAGTGTACGTGAACTGCTGTTTGGAAGATGAATTTGCTCTGTAAACTTTCACCCAAATCACAATAATTTTTTTTTTTTAAAAAAAGAATGTTCAAGGGATGGTCTAGCCTACCCAAACTATACAGCTCCCCAGCACTACACATCTTTTGTCACCCTGTCTATTCCATACTCTACACAATAGAAATCATATTCCTACAACTCAACCAGCCTCAAACCAATCATGGAACTGGAACCATGGCTTGCTCATAAAGCAGGTTCTCCAGGCATTCAACCCCTAACTGAATTTGGAAACAAACAAGATTACTATTATGTAATTAAACATTCTAGGACAGACAGCACCCACAAAAGACAATACAATCACAGTGTAGAGTACGCAAGGAAGGGAGTATCTAGGCCCACCCACTCAGGAAAAAATAGCCAATTCTTAAATATTAAGACAATACACTCTTTCCTATTGTTCCTCCCCCACCAATCACCTTTACCCCCTTAAGGTATACTAAGAAACAATTGGGTATACCAAGGGAGAGAAGGTAAATCATATAAGACTTAAAAGTATTCTTAAGCTGTAAATTATGTACAGCAGAAATGCAAAGATAAAATTTTTCACATGCAAATCAATCTCTGACAAAAGCTACCCAACCATGCCTTCTCTAGTCTAAAAAAATCAAAGATGGGATTTGAAAAAAGAAAAATGAAATCTGTCTAGCCAGACAGGAAGCCGATCTTTGCATTTCTTTGAGCTCAAAAGGGACACAACCCAAACCATTAAATTTCAACTTGCATTGTTGTGCTTAATTTTCATATTAGGGGGCAGTAGAGTCATTCCCGCCACACAAGGGCTTTTGAACAAAAGTACAAAGAGACAGGGTGGTGGGGAGTGGGTGTATGTGTCCTGTGACCAGCAGACTGATATCTCACAACCCTGAGATCAAAACAAAACAAATAAGCATAAACAAAGCAAGAATGGGCCACCACAGTGTATGAGAGATTAGGTAGAAAAGGAAGGCCAGGGACCACAGAACGAGCCTAGCCAAGAAACAGGCTCATGCCTTACTATCCAAAAAAAAAAAAAGACCCAAACTCACTTCCTTCGAGGAGGATCAAACTCATAGTGACCCCTAACCTTGGGTTTCCAAGACGGTATACCACTACGGAAGTAGATTACCCAATCTCCCTTCCGAGGAGTGGTTGGTGGGTTTGAACCGCCAGCCTTCTGGTTAGCAGTCAAATGCCTTAGGCATTACGCCACCAGAGACAACGCAAAACAGAGCTGTGAACAGAAAAGCCATGGGTTCAACAGCAGGGGAGCTGTCCTATCAGAAAGACAATCTCAGTCTCATCTGGCCAGCTATGCTTGAAGAGGTTTTCATACAGTTGGGAAACTAAAGATATATCACTAAATATGCAAAGGATTGGCATTTGAAGAAAAAAAAATAAAATCCCTAAAAAACTCTCACTAGAATTTTCAAAAGCAAGGACATTCACAAGAACACCCAAGACAAATACTTCTGTCCCTGAGAGTTAGTAAAGGCTGTTGCTTCCTAGAGTTCATTTAAATACCCATGGCACCCACTCTGACCCGCTACAGCCTCTCACACAGTTTCCCAAATCTGTACTTTACCTCAATCACTAACTCCTAGGGCCCTAAGGACTAGTATTATGCAACCTGGTATAACCTAGAATCTTCCAAAATTCAACCCCTTGAGCCCTTTAGCAGGGCATGAAGCTTCCCACTTGCCTCCCCTTTGACTGTCTTGCAATGAAACAGATCTTAAGGAAGAGCTGGGGGTGTACCATAATGCCAATTGCCATTGGGGCTGAGTGTCCAACACTGAGGAAACTTGTACAAGGAGAAGGGACAGCTGTTTTCTCTGGTCCAAATACCTAGTTCTCAAGACCAGTCCAGACATCTGTGTCTCAGGAATGCAAGCAGGTGCCATGACTATAAGAATGGTGCCAGATCACCCAATTTGTTCTGTTTAGACAAGAAACACTAGGAGATATATACGAACTTGGAAAGAGCTGAAGTCAGGTAGCTCACAGCCCCAGGGGGTTATTATACCCTTGAGGCGTGGAGGGAACTTTAAAGAAGTGACACTGGTTTTTCCATGTGGTTTGAAGCACTACATTACCCTGTTGCTATCATTATACTAGGAGCTCTGGTAGCATAGTGCCTAAGGCACTTGACTGTTAACCAGAAGGCTGGCAGTTCAAACCCACCAGCCACAACTCAGAAGGAAGATGGAGCAATCTACTTACGTAGTGATACTGCCTCGGAAACCCAAGGAGGGGTCACTATGAGTCAGGTCCGACTCGACGGCACATAACAACAACAACAAACTCATTGACCTGGGTTGTCAAACAGCCACAGGATGGCTACTCTGCCACAAAGGTAGGGTAACAAGGCACTCATCCACCTATCCTCACAGGAACGTTTCTTAGCTATACAGGGAAATATTCTAGACTTCAAGTCCCCAATTTAGATGTGGACAGAGAAGAAGGGAGAACAGCATCTATTCTGTTATCTTCAGAAATAAAAAGTGAAGATGATTCCTAATAAAGTGTTTATGTTCTTAAATATTTAGAATTTTCCAATGTGATAAACGAGGAATTGGAGAGTGAAGGGTAAAATAGAGAATTAAAGAGTTTCCTAATTACAAGGTCTGCCCATAAACTTTGTTTATATTAAGCAAAGCAAATATTTTCATGAACTGCAAAGCTGGTGGGGATGAATTTCCAAAGCATGCTATAACCATGAGGACCTTCAGCCTTGGAAGCAGCTGTACTCCAGCACTTTGATTTTATGCAGTCTGCAATAAAACAAGAGTTTGAGGAGAAGGAATGTCTGTGTCAAGTCTACTTTGACATCCTCACTCTATCAGTTCAAAACATATTGTTCTGCTTTGTTTTTCAGAGAAAATCACAGACACGTAATTTTAGCTTCCACCTATTAAAAAGATACAAAGCGGATGGAGAATTTTAGCGTACGAATAACCAAAAACCAAACCCTTGTCATCAAGTTGACAGGCAGGCACAAAGCAAGTGGGGTGATCTAGGGGCTTAGAAGCTGAAGACAGCACTTTGGAGCCTGGTGTTTCAAAAGCACCAGGGCAAGGGGGTTAAGGTCAACTGAAGTCCAAAAGCACTGCAACAACGCCAGCGCAGAAAGTGAAAATCTCTGAGAGGCATCTGTACAAGCAATACAATATTGGTTCTGGGCAACCTGATACCAGAAATTCTCCGGCTGATTTAACATTCCCCCGCAGATGCTTAAAGAGGTTTAAGAGCAACTAAAGACGTTTCACTCCAACAACCAGCACATTTTTTTTTTTTTTTTAAACTCTGGATAAGTATTGTTTTTCTTTTAACTGTGGCTTGTTTTTTTATTCCCCACCTCAACTAAACATCAGGAAGCAGATTTCAATCGCCACTCCTGTGCTGCAGCTCAAATGGCCATGCCAGCAAGGACTCCTCTCCAGGGTACGGAAACCAACAAATGACTCGGGATTTACCAGGCCTCCTCTTATTCTCCAGCAGGTGTTTCCCACGGTGCACTCATATACCACAGAAAGTCACTTCTACCCCAACACGCATTTAACCTCAGAGAGTATCTAATCCAAAGCCAGTGTTTCACAATCAAGAAGCTGGACAAGAGTTACCAGGAGGGATAAGGGATCAAGACTACAGCCAGCCAGCCTAGGTGCTATGAAAACACTACTCTACTCGTTTAAGAACTCTACCTTTGGGGTGGGGGGTGTGGCGCAAGAAGTTCCCAAAACAGGCAAGCTTATTAAATGAGCCAAACCACAAACTTTTGCTGTACAGGGCCTGGTAGTAAATATTTTAGACTTTGAAAGCTACATATGGTCTCTGTCCTTTTTATCTCTCTGTGAGTGTTTGTGTGTGTGTAAATAGATATGCACACACGCACATTTATCTTTTCTTATTTAAAATAACCAATTTCTTTAATTACAAAAATAGAATTGGAAAATTCATGGCAACATTTACAAGATGCTGTAGGAGCTCTGGTGGTGTAGTGCCTAAGGCATTTGACCGCTAACCACAAAGCTGGTGGTTCAAATCCACCAGGCACTCCTTGGAAGGAAGGTTGGACAATATACTTCTGTAGTGATACCGTCCCAGAAACCCAAGGAGGAGTCACTAATGAATTGTATCTGACTTGAAGGCAGTGAGTTTGGTTTCTGGATTTATAACAAACATAAATAAAAAACAAACGTGCGAGAGGAGTTCTGGCAAGATGGCGGACCAGGCAGAAGGACTGCACAGACACTCTTCAACAAAGAAAAGGGAAACTAATTGACACAGACACAGAAGATAATCGTGGACCGCTGAGCCTTGAAGGGAAGGTTACAGAAGTGGACTAAACCCCAACTAGCAGAAGAATTTGCGTGAAAATACCAAAAAAGGAGACATTCGGAGCTGCGGTCTGGCAGGGACCTGAGCACCCCTGATGGCACAAACAGCTTGGACATTCCTGAGTGGTGGTAGGACCTAAAAATTAAACTAAAAATCACCCTGATAGCCAGGGACTGCACGGACTGTGACAGTGGCTGGGGAACAAACGGAGAAG